GTGTAGCTGCTTTTTGATTTAACAAATTAATAACGAGGCCCGGTAGTCGGCTTATTGATGATGCCACATCACAAGGCATACATAACCATATTCGTATTTCTCGAGATGTATATATCGCATGTATATACATATATTGTAGTGTTCCTGGAAATCGCGGCTGACAAATGACAGGCCCAGGCTTCTCGGCAGCAAAGACTTCCGGCCCAGTTCGCCAGAAGCAGGCGGCGAGCTTTAAAGGAGCACAACTGGCAGTCGCCATCTTGGCCAGATTGATGCAACAGCAACACGGCATCACGGCATCACGGCAATACAGCAACACAGCAACACAGCAACGGCAACATAGCAACATCAGGCGACATTGATAGTGATTGAAGGACAGCTGTTCACACTAGGCAAACTAGCCGCAGTCCGGCGAACGTCAAATTAGAATGCGAAACGTGTTGCCAATGGGAATGTTGCTGTTGCTGCTGCTGTTGCTGTTGCTGCTGCAACGGACAATGGACAATGTGGCGGCACCTTTGGCTCTGCGGCATGCAAAACAGCCAGAGAGCAACAGCAACAACAACAACTGTTGCTGGAGTGCAAATTAATTGAAGCATCGCAAGGCAATGTCAACGACAGCAACATCACGTGTTGCATGTGGCATTTTGGCGTAGGCTGGGTTCAGCTTGCCCCAGCACATTCTTATAATTATGTCATTTAATTAAGCAAAGACAGTTTGCTGTGCCACGACTAATTAAAACATCGCGCCAGCAGCAGCAGCAGCAACAACAATACAACAGCAACACAGCAGCAGCACAGCAGCAATATATCCAGCACAGCAGCAACATGTGCGGTGGAATGAATGACCGGCCACTGTCAATGCAACGAGCAATATAACGAAAAACAGCGCTTCAACTTTGCCGCTCAATGGATCGTACGATGTAAGGAATGCTTCCTGGAATTTGGGTCATAATTAATGTGGCATGATTTGGCAAGACACTTTAATCAAGGCGAATTAAATAGAGAAGGGCAGTAGGGAAATTGGGGGAAAGTGGGGGAGCCACCCAAAAACTGCACATCAATCATACGCAGCGGTGGCCCAGCTGTTCAATTGCAATACCATAACTCACTTTTATAGGCCATCCACTCGCACACAATTCGCTGAAAACCTGCGCACCGGGATTAAGATTTGCCGCCGAGATTCTGGCCAGGCACGCTATTCGCTCTATAAGCCATATATCCCATAGGCCTCGTGGTTGCAGTCGGTAAATTACAACAACTATTACGGCCCAGCCCCACAAAAGCCCAAGCCGTTTCTCGGAAAACTCAGCTTATGCGCTTTCGGGCCTGGCCACATGAAACAAATTTATGAGTTGCCAGCGCTTCAAGTGCAACACCTGGTAGCAGGCTAGTTTTGAGTTGAGTTTAGCTGAGTTGAGCTGAGCCTTTTTTGTGACTACTGACTACTGCAAAAAAGAGGAACAAAAGTCCGGGCTCAATGGGCCCGCATCGCATTTGATATCCTTTGTGAGTGCACTGCCCACTGTGCGTGACATTTGCGTTAAGTGGCTGTGGGAACTTTGGGCCAACGAAATTATGAACAGAAGCCGCACAAACGGGCGGCCGGCAAAAACTTTTCATTTGCCCGATTCTAACCAGTCGATAAGCCCGAAAAAGTTGCCAACAACAAATGAAAATTCACGACACACACAAATATTGTCAAAAACTTGGACCACAGATATCGCTATCTCTATCGGGGCATCTATATCTCTATCTCTCTCTCGAGAAGTGCGAGTGCAATGGCTATATATTCGGGCAGTTCGAATTGCAGGCAAAAATATTCGAACGCTTGGCTGGGGTAATTAAAAATAAATTTTATGCTCGAGCTTTAACAGCCGTCGGAGACAAGAAACAGCAAAAAATGAAAAACCTCAAATGACTTAACGAATTTTATATGCTCTAATTTGATATAGTTACCTATAAATTCCAATACTACAGTTAAGATAAGCTGTTAAAATAAGGTGACAATAAAATTTAATGTGCTATATTTTTTATACAAAATAATATTTATCAATCTTTACAAAATGCATTTAACAAAGGGTGTTTAAGTAGTAATTAAAATCAGATTATCTTAATGGACTTCAGATATTAAAATATTTATCTCAAATTCCTGACAAAACATTTAAATAAATAAAAACCAAATACCTTCTTTATTTGCATCACCTTAATACCCCTTTTGTCCCAAGTGTATAATCATGGCTAAGACAAATAGTAAAATACCAAAACAAAAAAAAAGAGACCAAAACAACAGTTTGTGTGTGTATATTTTTCATCGAAAATGTTTGTGAAAAAAGCGGAGTCAAGATGAAAAAATGTAGAAAAATAAACAAAAGCCCAGATAAACATATACACAGAAACTCGAGTCACGGGGCAGACAAAAGTTATTGCCAAAATTTTCGGCATGTTTGCTTTTGAAATTTAAATTTCACATTTGTTGTCGTTGGTTTTTATGGCCGGGGCTATCATAAAAATTTCCGAGCCAACATGTGAGCCCTCTCGAGAGTGTGTGTGTGTGTGTGTTGGCCATTAAAATTGCATTGGCTACGACGTCTAAGCCAAAAAAGTGATGCCGCCCTAGTTGCTTAATTTGCCACTAATGACAGCGAGTAAAGTCGGCCGACTCGGGCCACTCATAATTGACAACTAAATTGGCCGACTGACAAGGGGGCTCCCCTTCGCAAAAGCCCCTCGATTTAAGCCGCCCCGAGATGTGACATATGCAGACTAATGAATTTTAAAATCAACGCTCGCCACAGGTGCCCCCGTTCGTTATGGATGCGAATGCCAGTCGACTCCATTTCACTCCATTCCACTCCCCAGACAAACTGTCTGTCAAACGATTTGAATCCCAATCCGCAGTTGGGAGCCCATCCACAAAAGCGAGTGCATGAATGAATTACGGCGGCGACTGGGGGATCGCTGGATGGATCAAATCAAGCATCAATAAAGTCGGCATATGAATAACATGAATTAAACATAAATGCAAAGGGAACGGATAACCAGCTCCGTCCGATCTGATTGATCACTTTGCAGTTTGCAGCCTCACTTAGCCGGGGCGACATTCCACGGGGCACTGGGCACACACAGATTTTAAATTAAAATTTTGCACACTCGAGGAGCAGGAAATAAATTCAGCGACCACGCCGCATTGATGCATGTCACGTTTGGGTGTTCGTTCGGCTGCGTTTACGTGGAACTGTCAAAATGCAAACCGAAGTAAGGCCCAAAAAGTATCAAAAAAAAAACCCAAAGCCCCCGAAAGCTGCAACAACAATGGGCTCGACCAGGCTAAGTGCCAAGTGAAAATGGCTGGGGTTTGGGGCATCAACTGTCAAAACTGACAGCAGAGTCACAGTCGTCGCAGCCCAGAAAACTAAAAACTGAATACTGTAAGCAGAAACCAGAAAACAGAAAACTGAAAACAGAGCCAACGGTGGCTCAAATTGAAAATTAACTTAGCGGAACTGGAAATGCTTTTTTTTTGGAGGCGTGTGAACCTCGGCACTCATACAAACACACCTGAGCGTTGGTACTTTGGCAAAAAAATATAAAAATAATAATGTCGTCTGCTTCGCTTTTTTGGGGGCTCTCGCCCTAATGAGCGTAGATCATTTTCTTTTTGACCTAGGAACAAATTTCAGACAATTAGGAGAAATGTGAACTGTGGGCAGTGAAATAATACACAGCATTTGAGTTGATATTCTCAGCTGGCAGGGAAAACTTTAGATACTACCTCATAATAGAGTTATAAAGAGTGAGTAAGAAACCAAGGAAAATTAGTGTAACTTTCGTTTTGTTCTCATGAATTTAGTTTTTCAGAGTTTGAACATAAAATTTAGCCGAAATTTGTAAAGCTAAATAAAGAATGGATATGAAAAGTTTAATAATAAATTATAGTTTTTTTATTTAAATCTATGATCTATGTTTTAATGCCAGTTTAAACAATTAAATATTTCCATTGAACTATTAAATTGCTTCGTTCCTTTCTTTCACGCCTCAATCCAATTGTTTCAGTCATTATCTGGTACCTTAATTTCAGGTTCTAAGGATACAATCTGGCGGCAGGACAACGGCGATTGCTATCGACCCATTCCCCCAATTTCGATGGCGGCCAACAGGAAACGCTCACTCAGCAACACAAAAAAGGCGCGAAGCAATCGATTTGTGGGCGGTGGGCGGTGGTGGGGCGGTTACACCCACGCACTCCGTAAAATACCAACCAGAGCGGCAACTATCAGCCAACCCCCGCCAAAATACATTCATTAAAAACGCATTAGAAATGACATTAGAACAAATGTCCAAGGGGTAACCAAAAAAAAAAAAATGGAAGAAATTACTTAAATACACCATAAATCGAAATGGTGGTTAAGGTCTCTTTCCCCATTATTTGTTAAGAATATATTTGAAACATTTCCATAAATCTCGATACAGTTCAGTTGGTATATTATTAAATTTTGAACATTTTTTACAGGTCCTTGTTTTCCTTAACATACAATTGTAAAATAAAGTTTGTGTTTCAAAAGGTTTAATCCCAACCTGATTAGTTAAGATGAAGTCATCTTATTAAAAATGTCAAATTACATTAAAATAAGTTTAAGTAAGAGATAATCCAATTTGTTGTGTATTCAATAATTAAAATTAAAAATTTCTGAATCCACATTACATTTAGTATTTAAATAAATATAAGTTTGTTTTTACTTTAAAATATAATGTTGGAAAATGAGAAATTCCATTAAAGTGGCTATGGACTTTTCCGTAGTGATAAAAGATTATCTGGCAAAGTGTGTTAAAACTGAAGTTCTAAATGTGCAAGAAACACAAGTTTTCTTAACAAAAGTTAAACTATTATGTGATTTATTCTTGATTTCATACAATTACATTTAGGTAGAATAAAAGCCAACTGAATTGCTAAGGGAGATCTTTGTTCATTGCCGTAACTAGTTTCAGGAGTAACTTACTGTGCTGATGGTAGCTGGGGTAGTAGCGCCGGTGGTGTCCGTTGCTCTCCAGCGCGTAGAAGGCGCTCATGTCGCTGGTGTCCAGTCCGGATCCGCCGCCGCCGCCCAGCGCCGCTCCCACGCCCACACTGCTGCCCGCCGAACTGGCGCCGCTGGAGAGGCTGTGGTGGCTATGGGCCAGGCTGCTGCCGGCGCTGCCAAGGCCGTTCGTCTGGGGCGAGACGCCGCCCCCATTGCCGCCGCCGCCACCGCCGCCGGAGGAGCCGCCGCCCCCCAAGCGCGGACTATCATACCAGCTGCGAGCGGCAGCCTCCGCTGTTGAGGTCATATCCATTTCGAGTATAATTTTGAATGTGTTTCTGTGCTACCGGGGGCAGGAGGAATCGGGATCGGATCGGGATCGGCTGCTTCTATCCCTCTATGCGGCTATGCGGCTGCTCGAGTTCTCCACTGCTCGCTTTTAATAGCTACGCATTTTTTTTTGTCAAAAGACTCAAACACTCAACAACTCTTTCTCTGTGGAAGTCAAGAAATATTCGACAACTTTAGCAACTGAAGTTGGGTGTCTGCTGTTGATAAGATTTTAACGGTAGCCGGCGTTATCACTCACTCTCCCTTATCGCGAGCTTTACATTTTTGTTCAATTGTTTTTATGGCTTTATGGGTGCGCGGTACAGTTATACAGGATAACCACGAGTTGATTTACGATTGGACTTTTGGATTCGCTGCGTAGTGTTTGGGAAATGTGAGAAATGCCAAAACTAAAGAGTGAACCGAAATACATTTTTTGGCACTCATCGGTTGATTGATGACCGAGATCCCGCCCAGGGGACCTAATAAACATGTAGTCCGAACAATTGCATTGTCACAATGTTTACACACAGCGGAACAAAAGAGATCCTGGGGATTTCGTATCTGCGGGATGTCAAAATGAGGCGCCTGAGATACTTGAAGGGCAGGTGTGTTCCATTTGTGCCGATGTGTGGGCCCAATTGGAGGCGATTTAAAGGTTTATCGAAGAGCTTGAATTGCTAACTGGCATCTGTCTGTGGGGTTTCTTACAGCCCCAAGAGTCATATCGCGCAGACAACACTCCTATATTGATTTAGACAGGTAGCCGAATTTTTGGGGAATTTTGGGCTTATCAGCAATAGATAGCAGATATGTTTGTATAGCGAGCTGTGTGCATTGCACTCGTTGATTTCTTTTCGAAATGATTACTATCAACGGGAGTTTTTTTTTTTTGGACTACCTCTTCTGTTTGCTTTCTTTGTTTGCTTTTGGCTTCGAAAAATTAATAATACAACCCAAGTTGGACCCGAGTTTTTTGTGGACTGTATCTTTAAGGTGCCCAGATGCCTATCGTTCAATTGACAATTGCGCTACGAAAGGAACGGCGATAAGGCAACATAATTTGTTACCTCCCGAAGGTGGAAGAAAAGCAAATAACCAGGGCCTTTTGAGTCGAAAACTCAATCAATTTATCTATCTATCGGCAGCAGAAGCAGCGATAAGTGAAGTGAAAAAAAAAAAATAGGGAAGCAAACACTTTTCATTAAATGTCTTCTTGTTTTTGTTTTTCGTTCTCCGCGCGCTTTAGTTGATAGCAATAAATTGATAAGCGCAAGTGCCAGATTTTTCGAATGCTTGTGTCAGCATTTTGCTTTTCTTTTTTTTGTACTATGGGCTTCAAAGGCTGATCGCTCGATAAGGATAATGAATTTCGCGGGGGCTAGCGTTAAAAACTTTTGATTTTGACTTTTTGGTTTTTGTTTTTTTATGATCATTGATCACACATTTTGATCTTACATTTTTAGCACACTGTTTTGATCACACTGCTTGTTTTTACTGGGTTTTCTTTCTGTGGTTTTTCTTTTGATTTGTATTTTTGGTACACTTCTTGAGCTCTCTGTGTTTAATAATTTGCCGACGCGTTTTTCGAGCTTTCTTTGTTGTTGTCGCGGCGAGACGAGAATCGATAGCAAAATACGAACGAGCGGACGCACGACGATAACACGCTTGCAAACACGTCAACAGTTGAAATCGAACTGAACGAACACGAGCGCAAAACAGGAAAGACTGGCGCTGCTTGCTCTTTGACTAATACATGCGCAGCGGAAAACCCGTTTGCCCGATGCCCTGCCTACGGGTGCGTGTGTGAGTGTGCTGGCACATACAAGATGGTCGCACTGTCAAGCAGTGCTCGCCGGGGGAGAGAGGGAGTCAGATGTATAGTATCTGGACAAAACAATATGCCTGTCACTCTTTCGCTTCAGCGAGAGGGGCGTGTTTTTTTGTGTGTGCAGGTAAGGTAACCGGTTGTTGTTGCAGTTGCATGTTCCTTGTTGTTGTTTGTTTGCTCCGCTCGAGTGCATCGTTCAATAATCTCTCAGCGGCACGCCTCTCTGCACTTGACGCACACATATAGGCAGACAATCCAGCGTTTTGCTTGTCTGTTCGCTCCGCTCTCGGCTCCCGTCCCTCTCCCACTCCCTCTTTCCCACTATCCCCATCTCTTTCCCACGCCCGCTGTCAAGCAGTGACAACAATCATCGATCGTTCCGTTTGCGATTATGTGCTTTATTTATGGGCCTTAACATGTGTGCAGATTTGTCTGGCGATTTTTGAGTTATATACGCCTGCTGCCTGCCGCCTTATGCGTGTGCGAGCGGGATGGCAATAGACTAGCTCATAGAGCCAAATTTGCATAAATTAGCAGCTGGAAATTAAGAGGAGTACGAAATACGCGCCGCATCTCCTGCGAACTGCGAAAGATAGTTGCTCGTATCTAGATGCAAATTATTAATATGGAGCTCATATATTTTCGCGGCAAGTTGGCTCCTTTGGGGTCGCGTTTGTATTGTACATCTGCTGCCCATAAACAGCTCACACACTCACACACACGCTGAAGAAACAAGGAGGAAGTCTTAAATACGTGAGCCTGTTTTTGCCACAGTCAAACTTCCACAACTCATATTTTCATGGGGAGCATTTTATACAATAAACTTTAGTAATTGCGGCTTGGGTAAATATAATTTTAGGCATTCATTATATTTTTTTTACATTCGGAAGTTTTTTCAAGTTGAAATATTAATTGTACTTCAATTCTACTACATTTGACCATGACACTTAACTTAAACGGTTTTAAAACTAATTAAATTACAAATAATTTAAACCTCAAAAGAATTGTAGGCAGTTAAGTCAACAAATATATTTTCAATATTAGTCTAATACTAAATTTATTTTGATGTCCTGAGTGTCAATTAGGTAATTTATTTTGCAGAAGTTAAATTTATTCAAAAATTTTAGTGCTCTAGTATTGGAAAATGAAATATTTGATGAGGCAACTAGAGGTTCCAGCTAAGAAATCTCGACTGTGTACTTCCCCCGCATTGATTTTCGCATTAAAAAGAAACTTTTTGGCGCCAAAGGGTTAAGTGGGGCTGCACCTGTGAACTGGCAAAAAGGATGCTATCTCGTGGGCTCAGGGGAGGGGAGGGGAGGGGCCCAGGAAAGACAGCTGCAAACTGGAAAGTTTCCCAGGCCCACTTAATTCCACATGAATATTTTTGAATATATTTTTTGTGATCGCTTTCCGAGACATTTCATAAGTTCATATTGCCGCGATACGAATCTAACCAGATCTGGCCGAGCTTATGGCTGAAATAAACCGTTTGTCAAAGCCCCTGGGCTGACTACCTAAGCAGCAGTTTATGTATGTAAATACCAGCGACCACAGATAGCGCTGTTGATAGTTACAGATACATAATTTGAGATAAAGATACAACCCGAGACCCAAAAGACAGTGAGCGGCTGCCAAAATAAGAAACCTGTAACCAAAATCAGATCAACCAACGGTGCGAACACCAAACACGAGCGACGAACCACAGAACAACCAAAACAAAAACATTTACAACAAAACACAGAAAGAAAAACAAACAACAAACTATGGTGTTGGTGTCACTGACAGAACAACGCAAACAACAACGCAAACAATCTGCCAGACAATCTATAGTGCAAAGGACACCATGGATAGGAAAATAAGCCGTCGCTGCCGAAAGATCTTCGATTAGATGGTATTGGCACTGCATCTGTATCCTCAGATTAAATAAACGCACTTGATCAATCGCAGTTCGAAATGGGGTTAATTCCTTCTAAAGAGTGTCAACTTTTGGTTTATTATCAATTTAATCTGATTTCCTTGCTGAATGTCCAGATGTTACAACATTAAGTGGGTGTGTTTGAAAACCAATTTTACTTGATTTTACTTTTCAAACACAAAATGAATCCGTTGTATTATTTATAATGTTAAGATTATATATCATGAAGATTGTACTTTACTGTATTTAAATACAAATAATGAAAAAAGACTCACTAAATGAGAATTGGTTCTTATAATGCATTTAATCTTATCACCATATAACCAAAACTTTCCCGACAAATCAATTGAAAAATAGTAAATATTTTTAAAAGATATGCAGAGATTTTAATTTGACTAAATTAAACTACGATTTAAGTATAGTCGACTGTAAATCACCAGAGATATCTCAGCAATTGGAGCTCTTTGGGGAAACAATGGAATGCTAGGGAAATCTCAATGGGTTTTTTGGGGCTTCAGCGATAAGATTCGCCGAGTCATGTCAACTTATGGGTCTCAAAATGGATGAATTGTCACGTCTGCCTGTCAAGTACTGAAAACTTAACTGGTAATCGCCAGATGATAAGTACACATCAGCCCCAATTGGTTGAGGAAGTTGTAGCAGATACAGGTGGCACCTTTCGATAAGGATTTTAGTTTTCGAATTGATGAGATAGCGTTGAAGAGCGCAGTAAGGTGATATATGCTTGTGAAATAAAAAATACTTATAGTTTATCAAAAATGCAATAAATTACGGTTTGTCTTGTGGGTTTATATTGCGAAAAATACTACCTGTGCCAAGGCTACCTCAAAAAATAAATATAAATATAAATATAAATAAATTTGGTTTTACGGCTATTTTAATGGTGAATGGCTGGCGTATAAATTAAATGAAATACCAATCTATTGATAAGCTTAAATTGTGTCACATAAAGATAAGTAACTCACTAATTTGAATTTTTATTATTTGGAGGAGATTGTTTTAATCTTTTTGAAGAAAGTTAAATTTAATTTATGTTATCTTTTTAAAAACCGTAATATGGGAAACTAGTTATTATTTTCTTGAGTTTAAAGATATAAATTAATTTGCAGCTTCATCGAATCAACAATTCTAGATTTAAAGTGAAAATATTCAAAACTTAAAATTATTTCCCTAATAGCTTTCTATATGGCTGGAAGATTTTACTTTTACCTGTACCAACTACACCTAAATAAGCCGAGGCAAAACCGTGTGTACACGTACACGATGCGTTTGACTTTTCTTTCCGATGCAGACTTTTCCAGCACGTGCGCAGCTTTTCCGGGTCCGTCTGACTTCGACGATGAAGCCTCCAGTTGGACGCCGTCAAGCAGACAAAAATGGGGTATATATAAATAGAGAAAGGGAGGGGGACAGGGGTACATATGTTGGTGGAGAGACGACCAGACCATGTCTGCCCCCTCCCACGAAAACCCCTTTTCCGACCAACCCCCCTTCAAAAAAAAAAGTTGACGCACGTTGCGTGTAATTCCGATTTTAATCGCATAAAAATGTTTTGTTTATATGTATAATTTAGTTTTAACAATTTACGTTAACCTTTTGTTAGCATTTTTAATTTGCTCGGCGCTGAGGTTGTTAAGCTCGTACGTCTATTGCTGCGGTTTCTGCTATTTGCTGTTTGGGTTAGTTCATAAGCAGCAACAATTAAATGCTCCATAAAATCGGTTTAAATACGCGTTCAGTTTGCCTCTCTATATGTGCGGCTATATATATATCCATGAATGCCTTGGTCGCGTATAGACAGTTATTATTACTGAGCTCAGTTGTTGTTATAATTATTGTCATGCGATAGAAATCAGCGACATTTTTACAGCATTTAAACAAAGCATAAATTCTGATTTAGTTCCAAATCTGTCGCCGGATTCTGGAAAAATAATACGAGTTTGTGTGTACGCGAGTGCATATTGCATAAACACACTAAAATAGACCAGCAGTATCATCAGCAGACACACTTTTTAATACAATAAAAATTCTATTTAAATTGCCAGTTGTAATTATATAGCCCTCGTTCCCGCGCTGTGCGAATTACTCCTCCTATTGTGCAAATTATTAAGGCCATAAATGTATTTCTGAGCACGGGTCCACACAATTAACTGGAAAATGTTAACGTTGTTTGCACAAATTAATTAAAAGGCTAAGATGGATTTGGCTCAAGGAATGTAGTTTATTGACTTGAATATAATTTATTTTTATCGCTGCAATGAAGTAATAACAACATATATTATTATCATTATATTTCCTGAAGAACTATTAGCCATCTAATTACATATGTGATTAATTATTTATTTTAATGCAGTTTTAGCGCCATTGGAGATTTTAGCGTTTTGTAGCTTGCTTCCGTGTGTTGTTAAGTATTCATAAATTTTATTATTTAATTGTGAGAATTGTATTGTATTAGAAACAAATATAAAGCTTAAATAAGCATTTTATTATATATAAAAAAGATACAGCTTTTTCCTGTTGCCTTAAAATGATTTTGTCGGTATCTATTTCATGTTTTTTTTTATTCGCTTAATATCGAAATCCCCACCCATGCGTCTGTCGTCAATTTCCGCATTTATATACGTATATCTCCCTTGGCAATAATCGCCAAACATTTTTGCCTCTGCACATTTCCCATTCCGTTCAATTTGTTGCTCCTAAGTCTTGCAATGCTGTTGATTTTGTTATAGGCTGAGTATATAATTTAATAACTATAACAACAAAGCGACAACATAACAGCCACAATGTCGGGGCTCAGTTCATATGTCATGTGCCAGTTTTTTGACTGCAATGCAGCGCCTATCGTCCAGCCTTCCTTAGCCCCTCTCTTGGCCCATTATTTGCCATTTTATGCAGCTCCCTTTTAGCCATCTACTCCACCCTTTTGGCCAATCCCGACCATG